AATTTTAGCATTTATTTTTTAACATATTATGGTACAAGAAATTTTATGTAGCAAACAATTACAAAACACAAGAACAGATACAAGATGCAAAAAATTTTATGTTCCAGTGACAAATGTATGATATTTATGCATCATCGAAGGGCAAGAGCTTTTCATCACTCACTGTCAATACCAGAAGTATCCTCTTTTTCAATTTCTACATTCCCAGTGCCTTCTGAAGAGTCACTTTCCTCATCCCAGTAAATTTCATCATCTTCATTCCATCCAAAGGATTGCTGATGCTGCATTTTTAAAAGAATATCACAACCACTTCCTTCGTGATACCATTCCACAGTCTCAGGGTTCAATCACAAACCTGGGCAATGGATGTTGTCTTCATTCTGCCTGTAGGTGTTAACTCATCAGCTGATTGCATCAATGATGTCCACTCTTTCTTCATTAGGGCTTTAAAGGGTTCATTCACTGGCATTCAAGAGGTTACACTTGGCTGGGTTAGCTCACCAGGTATCACAGGAAACTGGGTTTTCAAGTTCACTGCGATTGATTTTGTGCTTTGTGTAACATGGGCTTTGACGTGATCAAAAACAGCAAAACTGGTGATGCTGTAGGCCTTCATGACTAGTCTTTGTTAAACCAGATTTTTAGGCCTTTTTCATTCACCCATCCTTTTTCATGCACATAGACAATAATAACTCTGCTTGTAATCTTTTCTTTTGGAAATGTTTGTTTAAAGATAGTAGCTTCGTCCCATCTGCACAACAGGCCAGACAACAATGGAATGTGTTTTCTCATGTCCACTAGTTACAACAGCCACAGTCTTTGATCTTTTGACATCCACAGTTCTGTTGTGACTGTGTATGCATGGATGTGGAGTTAGTGTGTGTGCATTTTCCAAGAGAGAGGATTCATGACTATATTCTGAAAGTCAAAAGAGTTCTAGTGAATGAAGTAGGGATGTTTTATTTAAGTCTATATCTCCAGGATGCAGTAAAGAGCCTATTCCAATTGTAGGTATGCAATAATGCTTTCTTTCTTAAATAGTTGAGCTTATTTGGTTTTGAATTATATCACATTTATAGCCTTAAGTACTTACATAATTTAGTGCTTAATTTTAAACTTTTCTTATTACCTATTAACTGGTATATGATGCATTAATTGTTTCATTTTAGCTTATCTTTTTTACTAAGCTAGATATGAAAGACAGAGATCTTGCCTTCTTTTGTGTCCCATAGCATAATACTAAGCATGTGGAAACTTTTAAAAAAGTGAATTAATTATGATACCTCTGCACTATAGCTAGGGCAGCAGAGAGAGACCTGTCTAAAAAAAATAAATGAATTAATTGACTTGTTTCACAAGTTCATTGACACCCAGGATTTTGATTTCTATGTAATTAAACAGAAAATTTAAATGGCAGGTCCACAAATAGCCTGGTGATTTTGATAGCCTTAGCAACTTTCTGGAGTAACTTTGAGGTCTTGGTATACAGGGGAATGCCAAAATATTTATTAATTTGATTCATGCTTTTTTCATTGTGTATTCATTCATCCACATGTTTAACAAATATTTGTTAGGTTTCTACTATGTATCTGGCACTATATGAGGTGCTGTGAGAAATAAAATGATGGTTGTGTCTTACAATGGAAATGTCTATAGAAATGGCTATAGCCTAGTATAGGACCAAACTTATGATAATTAATTGTAATAAAATATATTATGTGCTATTAGGGAAATAGCTACAGGATGCTATAAAGGAGTGAAGCAGTAGCTATAGAAGTCACATAAGTCTTTACAGAATAAGTTGACATTTGAACATGTCTTCAAGGATACTTTGTAGGTACAGAATGAACATAGGTTATTTCAAATAGAGACTTGGAGGCATGAAAAGTTTTTGTATTCATTAAATGAGGGGGCCTTTAAGTGTGATTGAGAAGATACCAGTGATGGAAATATGTCATGAGAAGTCAGCAATTCAATAAATATTGATGGATTCACCACACATATGTGGTAGATACTCTGCTGGGCAAGGGGGATACAGTCACAGACCCTTCTTCTGGAGCTTACAGTGTAATGGTTGAGGACAGATATTAAGCACCAGAGCCGTGTGAGTATATAATAGGGAAACCTGATTTGGCACTGTATGAGGCGCTGGGAAGGAGAGAACAGGCATCTATGGAAAGTTTTGGTAAGGAAATAACATCTATTCTTAGTCCTGAGGATATATAGCAGCTAGACAAAGGAGGGAGGAAAGGATGAGGGGGAGGAGAGGAAAATTGTTATAGTGCTGGAGCAACTGGATAGCCATATGCATAAAAAAAGTTGGACATTTATTCACACTATAAAAAAATTAAAGCAAAGTGGATCAATAATCTAAGATAAGAGCTAAAGCTATAAAAGTCTTAGAAGAAAATATCAGGTTAAATCCTGACCACCAATTTGATAATTGATTCCTAGATATGAAACAAAAACATAAGCAAGAAAAGAAAAAAATTAGACTTCATCAAAACAGAGATTTTTATGCATCCAAAGGCATTATAAGGAAAGTGAAAAATAGCAAAGATGTAGGAAAAACCCAAGTGTTCGTCAACCCATGAATGGATTGATAAACTGTAGTATATGTGTACCATGGAATACTACTTGGCCATAAAAGATGGAGACTTTACATCTTTCATATTTACCTGATGGAGTTGAAGAACGTTCTTCTTAGTGAAGTATCTCAAGAATGGAAAAACAAATATCCCATGTACTCAATACTAATTCGAAACCAGTAGATAAACAATTACAGGCCCACAAGAGAGAGAAAACACAATTAAATTCAAGAAAGGGGTAGAAGGGAGGGAAGAGCTCATTAAGCTCCCACCTAATGAGTACAATGTGAGAGTATATGGCACACTTCCTAGGTGAAGGACTCAAGTACAACTCGGACTTTTCCTAACAAACACAAAAAATGTAACCTAATCATACGTACCCTTATATTAACCTGAAATTTTAAAAAAGTGGAAAGATAATCTATGGAATGAGAGAAAATATTTGCAAATTATGTATATAATAAAGGTTTAGCATCCAGAATATATTTTAAAAAACTCTTACAAGTTAATACAAAGACAGACAATCCAATTTAAAAAAGGGCAGAAGAGTGAATAGACATTCCTCCAGGGAAGATAGACAAATAGTCAATAAGCAAATGAAAAAATGTTTGAAACCATTAAGGAAATAAAAATCAAACTACAGGAGACATCACCTCACGTCTACTAGCATGGTTATAATCAACATGTCAGGTAATGACAAGCACTGAGGAGGATATGGAGAAACTTGAATCCTCACACATCGCTGATAATAATGTAAAATGGTTTGGCCACTGTGGAAAATAGTTTGGTGGTTTCTTAATAAGTTAAACATAGAATTACCATATGACCCCACAACTCCAATCCTCATCATATACCCAAAAGAACTGAAAACAGCATTAGAAAAAGTAATATATCTATGTGTATATTCTTAGCATTAGTATTTGCTGTAGCCAAAAGGTGGAAACAGCCTAAATGTTCCTCAACAGATTAATAAACAAATTATGGTAAATTCATACAAGGGAATATTATTCAACCACAAAAAGGAATGAAGTGCTGATACATATCACAACAAGAATAAACCTCCAAAACATCATGCTAGAGAGAAGCCAGATATATGAGGTCACATATTGTATGGCTTCACTTATAGGAAGTATTGGGAATAAACAAGTCCATGGAGAAAGAAAGTGGTTTGATGGATAACAGGGGCTGAGGGGTGAGGGGAGGGAGCATGGAAAAAAATTGTTCAATGGAAATGTTTTGAAACAATATAGAGGTGGTGATTGCACAATGCTGTGAATGCACTAAATGGCAATGAATTATTCACTTTAAAATTGTTAATTTTATTTTATGTGATTTTCACTTCGATACATTAAAAATTCTGTTTTAAGAATTTAAAGTCTATGAAGCCTATAAAGTCTAGGACAGTGGAAATAGTTTGTGTGAGTGCAGAAAGGCTTAAAGAGTTTGAAGAATAGAAATAAGATAATTGTGGCTATAATATCATAAACTCATAATCAGTAAAAATAGGTTGGAAAGGTAGGTAGAGGCCAGAATTGAGGTGTTCATTATATGGAATTTCTTGAGGGAAAATAAAAGCAAGAGTCACATGATCCAATTCATAGTTTTAAAGAGATCGTTCTAATTGCTGTATAGAGAACGGATTTCAGGTGATCAGGGAGCATTTAGGGAGTTTGATTGGGTGGTTAATTTTGAGATCTAAGCAAAGGACAATGGTGGATAGGTATATGATGGAAGTGATGGGAAATTAAGGGGCATTAGGAGATTTGATAAATATTTAGGAGATGGATATTTGATTAGAGGCAGGTTTTGGATTGCCAGATAAAATAATATATGCTCAGTTAAATTCCAGTATTTCAGAAATATACCAAAAAGTTATTTGTTTTTACCTAAAATTAAAATTTAGTTGAGGGTCCTATATTTTTAATCTGGCAACCCTATGTGGGGGTAAAGGAAAAGAAGAATCACTGATGACACTTAGATTTCTGCCACCAGCATCTGGATAGGTAATTGCATTCCTTCCTTCTTTACTGAAGTAGGAAGGCTAAGGGAGAAATAAATTTTCTAGGAGGAGGGGCACATCATTTATTTGGTTTGAACTGTAACCAGATAGTTGGTAGATTAAAATTGATGAAACCACTCAGGCAGTATTTGCAGAATGAAAAAACAGGATTGTTACTGTGTTAAGACATTTATATTCTACATTTAGTGAGTTTCACATGTACCCTTGTAAGATGCACCATAGGTGTGGTCCCATCAATTACCCTCAGAAAATGCCATGAGGGCAATGTTAACCAGTTTGATGAAAATATTTCAAATTGTATACAAAACCAGCACATTGTACCCCATGACTGCATTAATGTACACAACAATGATTTAATAAAAAAAAGAAAAACAGTTTAAAAAAAAAAAGAAAAAACAGGATTATACAGGATGATATAGGATCATCAATAATTAAGAGTTGTTCAGAAAAAAAGTACAAGAGACTGAATAGCAGCTTTAGGGGGACAGAGTGGGAATGAGGATGGTATTGGAGTGGAAGCCCAAGGAGGGGAGAGTTTCCTGGAGGAAGAATTGGTCTACCAGCTAAAAGTTACAAAGAATTCAAATCTAGTGAGAACTGAAAAGGAATCAGCAATTCAGGCAATTAGGAGATTTGGGAGGATTTAAACAAGAACTCTTTCAGTGTAATGTGAGTGGAGGAGAGGATTGTGCAGATGCAAAATTTAATGAGTTAGGGAATGGTGAGGTAAGGAAATAGAAGCAGCTACAAATTTGGTAATTAAGAGGGAATTACGCTAGAAAATCTAGGCAGAAAGTGGTAGCGGTAAAGATCATCAATTATAAATTTTGTATGTTGTCTTTACCCATTAACTTTTTTTTCTACAGAGTACTAAAGCAAAAAAAATAATTAAGAGGCTATGGTGTAGATTCTACAAAATAAAGGAGACTTTTTCTTTTCTTTCCCAGATTTTCTTTTGTTATGCAGTAGAAAACCACTACTTTGTGAATCTCGACCAGCGTTGAAGTAAGTGGTAATACTAAAGCTAGACACTAGGCTATTGATTACTAAAGGAAATTATTTTATTCTTTAATTTTTTTTTTTTTACTTTTCCACTTTAATGATATTTTATAGTAATTTTTTGAATATATGCAGAGTTGATTAACCATGCTTATCACTTTATAATATGCAGGGCAGGTGTGTTTAGGGAGGGTGTATGAATTCAAGATACAAGAGTCTGTCTAAGTGCCAAGTCAGTTAACATTGATTTGGTACATAGTGAAGCATACCATGTTATAAGAAAATAAATATAACTTAAAGGCAAAGAAACACTAAACACCCAGTTAATTTATGGTGAAGCATACTTAGTTTATGATTTTGGCTAATACATACTTTAACTAGAACAGTGTTCTGTACTCATTTTTATTAAATACTGTAGGTGTTTGCTGGGGCATGAGGTAATAACCCAAATACAATTAAAATGACCATAAAATTAAGGGTCTCCACATAGGCTCCCAAGGATGGGTCTGTTTGAGGCTTCTAGTCATCAGCATTGGGTGGTCTGCTATTGGTGTATGATACTTAAATAGGGCTTTTTCCCCCTTAGGTCTGTAAGGTGTTAAGGTGTTTTTATAAAACCCCATAAACCCTCGTTAAACACTTTTTTTTTCATAAAGAAAACTTAAATCTTTATTTGACGTGTTTTCTGTGGCACTATTTTGGCATTTTAACAAGTCCTTTAAAGAATCACTCTAATAATTGCATACAGCTTTAGGGATGGAGGTGGGGTGGGAGATATTTATTCAAGTTTTTGTACATTGAACTGCTCGATCCACTAAAGAACAGGCATGGCATTTTGGTACATTTCAATTTAATAAGAAAAAAGATCAGAAGAATATCCAAGTGGAGAAAGTTAGATTTAATTCGGGTATTGCATATTAATGCATTGATCAGAAGGTTTGACTATGAACTCAATTAACTATGATTCAAATATATTAGATTACTTACTACAGTTAGGTTGGCTTTCCCTAAATACATTATAAGAAATAGTAGCACTTTTCTTCACCCCATTACTCATTCTCTTTCCCTGCTTTATATTTTCTTTGTAGCATTTACTTTTGAACAGTGTCTGTTTTTTGTGTCTATGATTTTTGTCTAGGTACATATAATCTTCATGAGAGAGAGACTTTGTCTTTTTGTTCATTGTGGTATACCCCGGTCTAGGACAGTGCTTGTGAAATAATGGCATGTAATAAATATTTATTGAATGAATGAATTAATGAAGTGAATAAGTTACATTTTATATCTGTTCCATGGAGAAGCATGAACTTCAGCTCTTCCAAAGTCCAGATTTCACATGCATCTAACTTTCTTTTACTTAAGGATCTCATTTTTCTTCCGTTTCACTTCACATCTTGAATCGCAAAATCTTGGCATCACTAGGAATAATATTTATATGATATAGTAAGGGTGTGAAGTCAGACCATGATTTTTTGATGATGTCATGAAGCAGTATTCCATATGAATATATTTTTGCTCTAGAATTCTTTCAAATAGAAACAGGTGGTTATGTTAATCTTTTTTCTCCCCCTCTTTAAATGAAAGAAAACACCTCAGTTCACAGCAATGCTGGTATTTGTAGACTTTGTATAATATTTCTTAAAAATGTTTAACCAGGGAGGAGGATTCTGGGAATATGGAAGAGTAGAAAGCAGCAGGAATCCATCACCCTACCTAGACAACAATTTCACTGGCAGAATCTGTTCTGTATGACTATTTTGGAACTCTGAAGTCTGTTAAAGGCTTGAAACTTCCAGGGGAAGACTTGGATAGCAAATTGCAGTTAATGTCAGTAAATTTCAACTACTAGCACTGTACCAAGTTCACATTCCCTACCCTAGTGCCTCAGCAAGCTTCCATGTATGCGTTCCTTGAATAGCTCATATACAGTTTGTCCAAGTCAGGATGGGCAATAAGCACCCTCTAAATATTGACGATCTGTGTTCTGACTATTGATCGCTGCTTCTGATCACAGAGACACAGACACAGAGGTGGGAAGCCATTGTTGCAAGCCTCTGTCTTTCCAGCTGAAGTGATTTCCAGGGGATTTTAGGGCTGGCACACCCTTTTGACTTCTTTTGATTTTTCTTTTTCTTCTTTTGGGAGCTAGACACTCAAACCTAGTACTTTGGAAGAAAAGAAACTCCACATACAAGGGAAATCAAAAAGTGCATATGACTAGGGAAAAACATAGACTCAGAAAAGACCTGAGAAGACCTTAAGTTTACATTTTAGGCTGATCTTTAGCACAGAGACAGCTTACAGCAGTCAAAAACAAAGCATAGAAACAAAACAAAAAAACAGTAAGGGAAGGGAAAGAATCTGATTTCTAGATTTACTACATTATTAGATTCAAATATCCAATTTTCAACCAAAAAAAAATCACAAGGCATAGAAAGAAACAGGAAAGTATGACACATAGAGAGAGAGAAAATCAACCAAAGAGACTGTTCCTGAGAAACATTAGATGGTAGATTTACTAGAAAAAGATTTTAAAACAACTCAGAAGGACTTTAAAGATGCTCAGAGGACTAAAGGAAGACACGGAGAAAGTCAAAAAAAGGAAAGTCATAAAAAAGATAGTATGGAAAATCAAAAAGGGAAATAACAAAGAATAAAAAATCTAAACTGAAAAGAAGTTTTGGAGTTGAAAGCTCTAATAACTAAAAAGACTCATTCTTTAGTATAATTCAAATGCAGATTTGAACAGACAGAATAAAGAATCAGCAAATTCGAAGACAGGACAATGGAAATTATCAAGTCTGAGGAAAAGAAAGAAAAAGGATTGACAAGAAGTGAACAGAATGTAAAGGATCTTCAGGACAACATCAAGTAGATCAAAATGTACATTGTGGGTGGTTAAGAAAAAGAGAGAAATAAGCAAAGAGATGATCTGAAAAAATAATTGCTGAAAACTTCTCAAATTTGGTGAAAGACAAGAATATAGGCATTCAAAAAGTTCAATGGGGGATGGCGCCCATAGCTCAGTGGGTAGGGTGCTGGCCACATACATTGAGACTGGCAGGTTTGAGCTCAGCCTAGGCTTGCTAAACAACAATGACAACTGCAACCAAAAAATAGCAGGGCATTGTGGTGGGTGCCTGTAGTTCCAGCTACTTGGGAGGCTGAGGCAAGAGAATCGCTTAAGCCCAAGAGTTTGAGGTTGCTCTGAGCTGTGATTTCACGGGACTCTTAACAAGGGTGACATAGTGAGACTTGGTCTCAAAAAAAAAAGAAAAGAAAAGGAAAGAAAGAAGTTCAATGAACTCTAAGTAGGATTAAAGCAATGCAGCCTGAGACACGTAATCAAACTGTGAAAACAGAAAGATAGAAAAAGGACCTTAAAAGCAGGAAGAGAAAAGCAACTTGTTACATACATTAGAGTCTCAGTAAGATTGTCAGCAGATTGGGTATTAGAAACTTTAGAGGTCAAAAGGTCATGGGCTGATATACTCAAGGTGCTTAAAGGAAAATACTCTCAACTATGAATGGATAGCCAGTGGACTCTTCAAAAGTGAGGGATATAAATTAAAAAAGCTTTTATTTTTATAACAACAGTCTATAACTCAGTTTTCTGTTTTCTACACAATTTAAGAGATTATTATACTAAAAATAAGTTATTAGTATAAGATATAAACTTTGGTTTGTGACCTCACATTTTGTTTTCCAAACAATTCAAGACAAATGTGTTAAAAAGCATAAAATAGGGTGGTGCCTGTGGCTCAAAGGAGTAGAGTGCCAGCTCCATATGCCAGAGGTGGCGGGTTCAAAACCAGCCCCGGCCAAAAACTGCAAAAATGAAGCATAAAATAATTTGTATCCAATAGAAGTAATGTTGTGATGTCAATAGATAAATGGAGTGGGGACAAAATTGTAAATAAGCTAAATTTGTATGTTTTTGGAGTTAGTAGAGTCCAAATTAGAAGACTATAACTTTATAACCTTAAATGTGCTCCCTGTGGTAACCACAAAGGAAATAGTTATAAAAGACACACAAAAAGACACAAGAAGGGAATTATAATGCTTCACTACAATAAAATTAATTAAATAAAAAAAGACAATAATGCAGGAAATGAGTAACAAAAAAATCTATAAGACATATAGAATACAAATACAAAAGGACAGAATATGTACCTCTCTCAGTAACTATTTTAAATATAAATGTATTAAACTCTCTAATCCAAAATCAGAGACTGTCATTACAGATTTAAAAAATAATCCAAACATGCTCTCTATAGGAGATTTATTTTGGATTCAAAGACATGAAAGGTTGTAAGTGAAAGGATGGAAAATATATTCCATATAAATAGTAGCCCACAGCGTGCAGGGGTGGCTAAACTAAAATCAGACAAATAGGCTTTAAGTAAAAAAATTTACAAGAAACAAAGGAAATTATATATTAATAAAAGGTTTTTACAATCAGAAGATATAATCATAACTGTTATAACATACCTAAAAAGAGACCATAAAAATAGATGATTGAAAAATGAACAGAACTGAGGGTAGAAAGACATTTTTACAAAAAATGGTTAGAGACTTCAATACCCTAATCTCAGTAATGGATAGAATAACCAGATGTAAAATATGAGTGGATATCATCTGAACCACTGGGGAACAGATAGAACAAAAATGTGGAGGAAGAGTGAATTTGATCTGTGTTTGAGCTACAACCTCCATCTTCTCCTGCCCTTCAACATTGGCATTCTTGATTCTTAAGCCTTTGGATTCAGAGTGGTACTTACACCATCAGCCCCCAGCCTGGTTCTCAGGATAATGGATTTTGGCTGAATTACAATATTGGTTTTTAAGCTTGCAGATGGTAGATCATGAGACTTATCAGCCTCTATTATTATGTGAGCTAGCTCCTCTAATAAATCTCCATATCTAGCTATTATCTATCTATCTATCCATCTTCTATCTAACTCCTATCAGTTCTGTTTATTTGGAGAGCCTTGACTAATGAATTG